TCTGTAAAGATGGTCATTGGTATTCAGCATTGTCCCAACATTGTCTAATGCTATATCTCCGTGATATGCGGAAAATGAAGCAGTTGTGCCACCAATTGCAGCACCTATAAGCTTGCCGCCCCCAGCTGCTAATGTACCTCCAAAGACACCATCCAGCAAAGGCCCTGCAGCAGATCCAAGTTGTACAGATGATGCAGGAGAGTATAAATGACTTGAGGGTCTGCTCAGCACATGTGCCGTCAATGAACCATCATACAAGCTATTTCCATCCATATTACCACTAGTCCTTTGCTCATGCAAAAAGGAGAGTGGAGATGATACTAGAGGTGGATCTTTTAAATGCAACCTTGATCGCTTTGATTCTGGAGTCTTCAATTTGTTTGAAGAATCATTTTTATCCATTTTTCTCTTTGACACCACCTTGTCTTGGATTTTTCTATTGGCATCATCAATATCTTTTTCCAGTTTGCTTATCTTCTCCTTTAGTTTCGATCCAGGAAGAAATTCTGCGTGATCAATTTGGTGACCTTCCAAGCAATTTACTACAGACCTCAGAGTAGCTAAGTATTTTTCATCAGCTTGCTTCTGTGAAAGATCAACATGTATCGTCATAGTTAATATCCACAACAGAACAATGCAACGAATAAACAATGCTAATGCGCTTATCAGCCCATACCAATGCAGTAGCTGAACCACGAGTTTCTTGCTTAGTTTTCTTCCAAGAATCTTCAGACTTCTGCAAATATGAAGTCAAATTTGTCTGAGGGGAAAGTTTTTCTTCATATCCAAATATATATGCCAAGTCAATAGCTTCAACAACCATGCCCTTCTTCAACAATCCATCAGTAATATCTGTGGCAGTTATAAATAGCAAGGTTATACAAGGTTTAGGCTTCAGAACATTAGAAAACAACACGTTATTCATTCATCAACATTCCAGAAGAATAAATTAATCAATCAGAGAATAATGCAACAAAATATCAATTGTCATGACAAATTTAGCATCCAAAACAATTGGGAATAGTATACAAATGTCAAGAAGGAAAAAAAAATTAATATAATACATTGATCGGAAGAAAATCCAATTTTGTAAAAAGTGGATGTTGAGCAAGAATGTAACGGAAATCATGAAAATAAAGATGATAACTTAGAAGATGAAACCCTTCGCCACTGCAACCGGTAGAACTAATTGTTTCAAGAACTATAAATCCGATCAACACCCCTCATTACTTATACAAGGCATGGAAAGTACTAACCAACTCAATAAAGCTTTCAGCCCCTAAAATAAGATGAAACAGTCCACCAGTCACACAGAATAGTAAAAATTTAACGGATACATTGCACAAACAAGCCTTCAACATTTGTAATTTCTTCTGCCATGAGCTATCCTTAAAACCTATAATCTCTGAAAATATATACCTAGTAAGATGTTTATAGTAGGATGTTAACGTATTGGGTTGGGACAGGTTGAATGGAGTTTTCACCAGAATCTGCATGTTGCGTGAATTATAAACAGGCCCAAGTCCATATAAAAGGCACAAGGCCCGTCCCCGAACTCAGATCCAGGCATGTAACAAATTCAGGGTGAAGCCAGACTAGTTTACATCAAAACTATCAGAACTAAACTGGAATGATCATATTGCCCCCACCCCAAAAGGCCGCCTCGGGAAGGGGGGGGGCTACAATGATCTGAGGTTAAGCTCCAGCAAGAGATATTGGGGGAAATCATTCAGCTCCAGTGAAACAATTGTATCCTGGCTCTCCAAATGAATCTTGATGATCAATATTAATTATTCAAAGTACCATACTCGTATAGTTAGAAAAATCACAGACTACCCCTTGTTCTTCAGTTAGTTCTTAAACAGTCTTCACTGCTGCTTGCAGGCAATACTTGTTTTCCGCGCAAGATTCAATAACTGTTCAACACTTCGACTATCTCCGAGTGAAGTTGACTAAGGTAGCGAACTTTTTTTTTTTTTGGTTCGTTGAATAATTCCCAAGCTGAATGGGACCTAAGATGGGTAGCTCATATTTTAAAAGGTCAGTTGAAATGGATAACCTAAGAGGACTTAGCTTCATAAACCAAGAGCAGTAATTTCTGTATATCAACAAAATAAAATGAACCCTTCGCTGCAATTACAGTTCTGATTTCGAGTAGCAATAACACCATAGTTGATCGTATCCTCTACAGAGAACTTGTTTAGCAAAATTACACATGACTTGACAATGAGAAGCGTTACAACTAATAGCCTAATAGAGTGGCACAAACCTTCACAAAATTGTTGGCCCGGTTACGTGTCCTATAGATTCCATCCTATTGTCTTGGAACTCTAGTCTTAACCAAGAACACTTTGCCTTTTCTTCTCATTATAATTCTTTTATCCCCCTTCTAGTCAAACTAAGTGAGAAGCTGTAGAACTATATAGCTTAGTATAAAATTGTTAAAAATTGTTGAAACACGATACATAATCAGTGAGTCTCATGTGTGCAATAATGCCAATGAAATTATACAAAAAGCAGTACCTGAAACCTTCTTGAGAAGGCCACGAGACTGACGAAGGGCATGCATAATTTCCCTAGGATTGCTCAAACGAATCAAATCCCGTATCTCTTCGTGTCGGAAACCAGCTGGAATACCGAAGCAACCAACGAAAAGAATCAAACCCCTTGCATCAATCTCACAAGCCTTTGAAACACCACCCTCGACGATCAGTCTTTTCTTCCAGGCAGATGCAGACAAGCTAGCTTCTTCCTTCAAGGAAGGATCAATGTCTTTCTCATTATCAGTGCAACCGGACAAGAGATAATATTCCAAAACAAGAACTGAAGCTTGTCTAGCAGGAATCATGGGGGAGTCTTTGTTGTAAGCTCTGCTTCCCTGGAGAAAAAATCGCCCAATGCATTCAAAAACGAGTTTCAATGGTTTCGGGGCACTCTTGAGCGCCACGGGAACTTGCTCACGGAGTTTCTCTGGTTGTGATAGATTTGAGACTATATATTTACGGAGGCCACGGCTGCACATCGTTCGGCAAAGTGAAAGAACATCATTTAGGGACCCACCTCCGTCCCCATTCTCAGTTTTCTCTTTCAATTTCTGATTCGAATGCAATGCATTCTCCTTCACCAGAGTAGGCTGGGCACTCACAGGTTCCGTACTATGAACATTGCCTCCTGCCGAAGGAGTAGAAGACACTATCACCGTATTCTGCGTTGTATTGGAGGGAAGAGGAAGCTCTTTGGACCTCGTGTCGATGGCTTTGTCGATGAAATCCAGATGCTTTTGCAATTCATCAAACCTGCTCTTGAAAGCATTTATAGCAAAAGCTAGATTACCGAGTTCACTCACCGATTTCGCAATTTCAGCCGCACGCTTATCATCTCCATGCGCTGAAGAGACTGACGGCACCATCAATGGAAGCTGACCGTTTGAAAGATCATCTGGCTCTCCTTTGACAGGCTGGGACGATATCGATCGCAAAGACACTGAAATTGATGCTGCTGGGTCATGTTCCACCTTGACAGGTACATTACCAGTCATTGGGATAGAATTCAAGACAGTTGAGGGAATCGGCATGGAGGATGGATCAGAGCACAGATGCGAACCGAAGAGGGAAAGAACCCTAACCATATTAACAATTTCCGACGGAGGGGGAGGGGAAAAAAAAAAAAAAAACTCTGCCCCGGGCCCCGGTTGATCAAGACGACGACGCTCGACACAGAGTCGAGTTAATTTTTCTCTGTGAAACACCCCAAGAAATAAAAGGCAAAAATAATAAAGGAATCAATTCAATTTCAATATGATATTAACCGGATATTTCATATTTGGCTGGCAAAAAAATCATTATAACATATAAAAATATCTTCTTCTTCTTCTTTTAGATTATTAACCGTATATCTCATATTGGCTAAGGAGTATAGCTCCTATTGGACTCAAAAAAAACTACGGCTATTCGCGAGACGAATAGGGATCAGGACAGGCCCGTTCCAGTTCCATTCTGATGAACAGTAACGGGACAGAAAATCTGTCCCGTGTCCCGGTGCTGTCTCGGTTCTAATCAAGACGGGACAGGGACGTCCTGATATATATCTTTTATTTTTTTTAATTTTTTTTATTTCTTAAATAAAATCTGATTTTTTTAATTATAGTTTTTTGGGTTTAGGCTTTTTATAAAAACATCTTTTTATTTTCTTTTTTATTTGTTTGGACACTTTTCAACAAAAGCTCAAAATATTACATATAATAGTCATTAAAAATTCTAAACAAAAGCTTTTAACACAATAAAAACTTTCTAAAAATTCGAATCATCAATAATCTCAAATCATCAACAAATATAAAAACTCTAAATAAATATATCTATAGTTCCATATAATAGTCTCATCTTTAAAAAAATATTAAAAAAATATTATATAAATAGGAAAAAATTTAAAAAAAAAAAAAAAGGAACCGGGACAGGACGACCCTGTCCCGTGTCCCGTCCCGTCCCGAAAAATTTCAGGACAGATCCGTCCCATTCTAATAAGGCCAGAATTGGAACGGGCCGACCAGGATGGGCCGGCCTTGAACACCCCTAAAACAAACACAGGTACTTGCTACTTCCCCCTCTCGCTTTTTATAGAAAACATTGAATTCTATTAGGTAGATCAAAAGATTAATTAAGGATAATAAATAGATAAAATAAAAAAATTTTAAATATTTTTATTTATGATGAGGTGTGAGAGTGTAAAAAAGATAATAAGAAAATTATTATAATAGAAAGAATTATGAAAGAGAGAAAATATGTGATGGAGAAAGATGATAGTTTGAAAAATAAGATAATAAATATATTGAGTATTAAAATAAATATTTAATAGGATAAAATAGAAAATTTGCTACAAGAATTAACATAACTTGTAAATGTTACTTATATTTAAGAACAAAAAGGAAATGATAGTTTTTGCTTATGAAAAGAGATGAAAAGAGTATTAATTACTCCCCGACTACTTAATATAGAATTAGATGAGTATACTCGGCGCTTTGATATAGATTTTATATATAAGATCTAATACACATACTTATTAATTTTTTAAATTAATCCTAATTATATTTCTCCAACAATAATCAAATAGGAGAGAAAAAAAGAGAATTAAAAATGATACTTAAGGTGTCTTAAAAAGATATCATATTAATTAATTTAATTATCATTCTTAATTTACTTAAAATAGTTAATTAAATCCTACATTAAGAATCCAAAGAGTACTACCAATTCAATTTAATATAAGAGTTAATTGGAGAATTGAATGTAATGATAAATATAAAATCTCAAGTTATTGCATCTCTTACTCTTTTTAAAATATTTCTATTGATTATAAGAGGTTCGGATCAACGGATATTTCAATGCACATGATTCAAAACAATAGTTTAGATAGGCCAACATATATTTATAATAAATAATTAACTTAACTAATTTTTAAAATATTTTTAAATTAGCTATCCAACTTTTATATTAAGTATACAGAGTTAATATAAAATTTGTTGAAGAACAACTTTTGTTGCCAAATGGATTTTATTTTAACGGTCAAATCCCAAGACTAAGCTTTCTATGTTTACATCAACCGGAGAATTTAATTATTGAGCGTCATTCAAAGATAGCACTACAATAATTTGCTAAAAATCTACAATTCATTTAATCATATTATCATGTCTAACTAAGCTTTTTCAACTCAATTGAATATTATTTTTGAGGTTATGTTATACTACCTTTGCTCCTAATTAGTATATAAATAATAGTTTACAAACAAAATCTTATAATTAAGACAAAAGATAGTATATAATCAAGACTTAAAATTATGTGGCTTTTGATTCAAAAGTTAAATTAAGTCATAAGTAAGAATTTGGATTTGTTGACTTTTCTCTTAATCTCTTCTACTCTTACCCTCCTCTTTCTTCTTCTGCCCTTATCATCATTGGACTGTTAAAATTTATTTATATATTTTTAAATAAAATTATAATAATATTTGTATACAATATTACAGGTAAATTATTGAAATTTTGATCCAACAGCGATGAAAGGAAAAAGAGGGTTGAAAAAACATAGCCAAGTCCTATTGAGCCAACCAAGTCCACTCGAGTATCTCTCAACTCATCATAATAACTTAGCAATATCTAAATTAATGACACCATTTGATAGTTTTAGAGGGTGTTTGGTAACCCTCAGAAGTGTTTCTCAGAAGCACTTTTCTGTAAAACGAAGCAAACTCCTCCACATATTTACTTCGTAAACCGTAAAAGTACTTCTGAAACCATAATTTGGTTTCCATCCAAACACCCCTTTAGTGTGTGTTTAGAAGGACAATTAGATATGAAATAAGTGATTTTTAGAGGATTAATCACGTTTGGGTCAAGATGGTTGTATTTGGCAAAACTTTTGACTCAAATCACTTAAAGGTCAAAGTTGGTTTGAACCTAGCTTTTTCAAAAGCTCTTTTTTCTTGCTTATTACTTTAGCTAATTGGGTTTATAGGCAATTATTGGTGGCTCAAAAAAAATCCTCTCTCCTCCTGCTCATTTTGTGATTTTGTCTCCCGCTTCACACATCTCCTCTCTTCGAGCTCGTCTCCTCTGTTTTATGCGTGTGGGGGAAACAATTTGAATTAATTTCACTTTTTCATATTAAATTAATTTAAATTTATTATAGTCGTTCGGTCTTATATTTAAGATTAAAAGAGTATGATATAAATTTATTTTTTATCATATTTCACCTTTATATTTAAAATATTTTTTTATGATTTCTTTAATGTTTTAAAATTTAATTCATTCATTAAATTTCACTTCTTTATATTAAATTAATTTAAATTTATTATATTATATGAATTTATTTTTTTAATCATGTTTCATTATTTATTAAAACTCATACTTATTTTGATAATTTTACAAACAAACTTATTTTTATTCAATTATAATCAAAACAGTTTTTTACCAATCTAATTTTTACAAACTAATTTTTTTAAACTCCAATCCAAACACAATTTACCTTATCCAATTTAACTTTTATCCAATCTTACTTTTTTAAAAAATTAGATTAAGAATAAGTTATTTTTTCCACTGCCAATCCAAACTGACCCTTATTAATCCTTCATAAATTCTGCAAAATGACTTATAAACAAAATATAAACTTATTATACCACGTATAAATAGGAAAGGAGCGAGCATCATCACATACTATGTACCTGTTTATGTACCTGTTTGGGATCATGGTGGAAATTCCATATAAGCACATTTCACATAAACCGAGATAAAACTTTTCTCATATACTTACTTTGTATTCCATAAATTATTATTGAAAAACTACCTATAAGTTGTTCCAAACAGATTTTGTATATAATCAACATATAACATGGCACCTTCCCTTTTTTATTTTTTAGGTCTAACATTCAAACAAAAAAAATGCAAAATAAGATAGCCTCTCAGTTTTGGACTAAATTACATAAAAGTCAGATAATTTTTTTTCAAAAATTTTATTATGATTAGAAGACCCAATCTATCGTAGACTTAGTGTTTAACACAACTAATTGCTTACTAAAAATGTAATTACACCAATAATTAATCAATACTTAAAGACAATCCCTCATAAAGAATTATACCTGTCAAGTAGAGATAATTATGAATTCAATATAACTTTACTATTTTACATTTTGATGGAATTAGGAGTTTCTTTCCCTCATAAAAAGAATGATTGGTGTGCTCAACACACACAAGTGAATTGCCCCGGCTAGAAACAAGGGGCTTTTCTTGGGGGGAAAAACAGAATATAAATAATTGTGGACCTATTCCTTGCAGAATGGTTATTTACATGGTTAAGTTGTGTCAAGATGAGTTGACAATTTGATTAAACTTATTTATAACAAATGGGTTACCATCAGCATCCAAATCAATTAGGACATTGTCACCTTGTTTGCACTCTCCAGCAATGATTGCTTCACTCAAGGGATCTTCAATGAGTGAAGTAACTGCCCTCCTAAGGGGCCTAGCACCATATGTAGGGTCATACCCGTGCTGGCACACCAAGTCCTTCACAGATTCAGACACCTCTAACTCAATTCCTAGAGACCTGGTCCTCTTCTCCACCTCTCCAAGCATCAAATCCAATATTTCAAGAAGCTGCATTTAAAATGGTAATGTAATAAGTTAGCATTTAAAATATTAACGTGATATTACTTTTAATCCTAAATATAAAGCTAAACAAGATATTTATTTTGATTTTAAATATAAGACCTCAATCCACTTTGTTTTCTAAATTTATAACTTTTTTTTCCTTAAAATATCCAATTGATTGCTCATAGTAAAAAGAGTTTGCATTATTAGAAACGATATCCTAAGAAAACGAACCTGTGTCCTGTCAAGGGTTTGAAACACTACCACCTCGTCTATTCTGTTTAGAAATTCTGGACGAAAATATGTCCTTAATTCTTCCATCACCATTGATTTCAAACCATTGTATGAAGTTTCTTTGTCATTTGGAAGCAAGAAACCTATGGAGTTGCGTCGACCTTTTGCAATGGCACTAGACCCCACATTTGAAGTCATTACCACCAATGCATTCTTAAATGAAACTCTTCGACCCTGTTAGATCCAATTTCAAAAACAAAGACTGAGAAAATTAACTAACTTGGTTAAAACAGTAGCAAATTAAGCATAAAGTAACTCATAATCTGTTGATGATTGATTTAGTTTCACTGCAGCATTGTACAAACCTGAGAATCAGTAAGATGGCCATCTTCAAGCAACTGAAGAAGGATATTGAATATATCTGGATGAGCTTTCTCTATTTCATCAAGCAAAAGCAATGTGAATGGTTTTCTTCTAATAGCTTCTGTTAAAGTGCCTCCTTCTCCATAACCAATATAACCTGGAGGGGATCCTATCAATTTGCTTACTGTGTGTCTTTCCATGTATTCACTCATGTCTAATCGTACCATGGCTGCCTCCTGACATAAAAACATTTTCAGTTCCTTGTTATGTTCAACTCTTACAGAAGAACTGTGAGTAATCTTATAAAAGTTTCAAGGGGAAAAACTGAATGTCTATTAGCTGCATCCTAGTCTTCACTTACTGATCCAAAGTAGCATTCTGCCAGAGATTTAGCAAGTTCAGTTTTGCCAACCCCAGTTGGACCACAAAAGAGCATTGCTGCTATTGGCCTATTGGGATCCTTAAGACCGACTCGTGATCTCTTAACAGCTCGAGAAATGGCAGAAACAGCCTCTTCTTGTCCGATCACACGTTTGTGCAGTTGGTATTCAAGGTTTATCAAAAGCATTCTTTGATCAGCAGTGAGCTGCTGAACAGGGATGCCCGACCACTGGGAAGCAACTTCTGCTATCTCATCAGACCCAACCACCGTAGGTCTAAAGGAAAAGAACAAGTAAGACACTTAGAATTAGAAACCAAACTAAGCCCAAGTGACATCCTTCTGCGCACCTAGGCTATGTTTGGATTGGGGAAAAAGTGAGGGGAAAATATGGGAAGGGAACACTAGAAAAGAAAACTTCCAAAAATACTTTAAAAGGTTACTATTCTGGGGATTTTCCTTCCTAGTATTCTTCCCTTCCTACTTTTCTTCCCGTCCAAACAAAAGTTTATGATAGATTCACATACTCATCATCATTGGTTGTGTCAGGCAAATAGGAGTCCAGGATGAGTTCATTGGCATCATCAGAAGCGCCATCATATTTGAGTTTGCCTTCCTGAAATGACATGCATGAGACACAAACTAACAATGTAAACAACTCAGACAACTACAAGCATGCCATAAGCAGTAATATTACCATCATTTCAAGCCTGGACTGAACCGTCCTAATTTCTTTCCAGTAATCAGCTGGGCTCTTGGAAAGTATGCAAATTTCTTGTGCTTTTTTTCTCTTAAAGGCTTCAATATGAGCTCTGCTTCCTGCTTCATCAATAAGATCAATAGCTTTATCAGGGAGATACCTATCCGCTATATATCTTGCTGATAAATACACTGCAGCCTTTATAGCTTCTGGTGTATATTTGCATTTGTGGTGTGCCTCATATTTCTCACGTAGGCCCATAAGTATCTTTACTGCATCATCCTATACATAATCACATGATATCAAAATTAGAAATCTAATTAGCACTAACTGTTTACATTACATAGAATAATAAAAGGTATGAATATTTAAACCAACCTCACTTGGTTCGTCAACCCGAATAGGTTGAAATCGTCGTGCCAATGCCTTGTCTTTCTCAAAATGCAACCTGTACTCGTCTATGGTTGTAGATGCAATGCACTGTAGAGAAGTTGAATGTTAATGCACTTTATTATGAATGTAGTTGCTAGCAGTTCTGGAGTAGGCTACCCATGAAGAGTTTTGGTAGTTAAAGAAAACAAAAATCAGTAAATACAAATTACATGAGAAATAATCACCTGAAATTGACCTCTTCCAAGGGCAGGTTTAAGTAAATTAGAAATGTCAAGGCTAGCTCCTTGTTTTCCTGCTCCAACTACCCCTGACTGAACAAGAGTATGGGCTTCATCAATGAAAAGAATGACATTACCTGTATCAGAAGAAACCAATGAGAACTAAAGCAATTTTTCTATTCAACCAAAGTTTACTTTTTTATGTTATGTTCAATGTTTTCACCTTCTTGTATTACATCTTTTATTAATTTTGTAACACGATCCTCCAGCTCCCCCCTCTCTTTTGCCCCAGACATCAATAATGCAACATCCAAAGACATGACACGCTTTGTCTGTGTAAACACAAAGCAGGAATAAAGTTTGAAACTAATATAAGTTACATATACGCATCTATTAATTAATTCCCACCAAAAGGCACAAGCTTAAAGGACAGAAGAACATGAAGAACATAAACTACTTGATGAGAAACGCACCAATAGGAAAACAGGAACATCCGCACGAGAAATTCGAAGGGCCAAACCCTCAGCAATAGCTGTTTTTCCAACACCACTTTCACCAAGAAGAATGGGATTGCTTTTGGTTTTTCTAGCTAAAATCTGCACAATTCTCTGAACCTCAAATTCTCGGCCAATAACGGGATCAATTAGTCCTTCATCCGCACGAGCAGTGAGATCCACACAGAATTGTGATAGAGCGCTTTGATCTAACAAAACAAAGTTTCATTACTTGTCTGCCTTGAAATATAAGTACCCAAATTTGACAAAATTAAAGAGAATGTTTCCTACCTTTGGATGTGTCAGAGAATCCTGAGGCAGTGCCCTTTCTTGAAAGAGACTTATTACGCATCCCTTTGGATAACATCTTAGGTTCTCTTCCATCTTTGTCAAGTTCCTTTCGTAGCCTGGAGAATGCTTCTGATACCAAGTGGTGTGGGTTTACGTCCAGTCTAAAAAACAGCAGTACATTTGCAACATCCGTAAAAAATTTTAATCAAAATAACAACCTCAAATTATTATGTGAGTCAACTATACAAGTACTACTTCCTCTTTGGCCCCCTCAGCAGAATACCGTTCAGTCTTGGCCCATTGTGGGACCGATATACATACCCATAACCAATCGATATGTAGAATAGGGGGGTTGGATATCTTTTTGGGATTGACTTCCCAGAATTAGCTTCGGGAAACTCTTATCAGATTCCACTAGAGGCATAACTGGGAAATTAATCTAAAAAATTATAGAATTCCAAGACATAATCAGGTGCGTGTTATGAAGTAATTAATGAATTTGCCGGGGGAATCAAACTTCATTAGGTTTTAGCAATAAGAGCTAAAAAAAGAAACAGGTTGAAAAAAAAAAAAAATTCCTCTGTAGTTGTAGTTAAATATCTGGGCCATTATATGTGCAATCAATTTGTTTGTAACTAGAGAGGAATATATCAGATTCCAAACAATATAGAGATATGATGCACTACCTCTTGAGGACTAGGCCGGCGTTTTTATCATCAACGTTGAACAGAGCAACCATTATGTGCTCAGGGCCAATAAAATTATAGCCCAGAAGCTTGGAATATTCAGCGGCAGCCTCAAACACTCGCTTTACGCCAATTGAAAAGGGGACATGGTGGTGAGGAACGGAAGCTCCATCTTTTTTATCCTCACCATCATCACCAGCAGAGCTAGAAATTTGGATATTCCAGATGCTTCGAACTGCCTCTCGAGCCTTATCAATGGTCACACCAGAACCAAGAAACCCATCAGGAGAATGATCTTCCTCTGCTATTAATCCCAGCAAAAGATGCTGTGGGAGAACCACCTCCTTGCCAAGGGCCTGAGCTTCTCTTTGGGAGAACAATATAGCCTTTATGGCTCTTTCAGTAAATTTCTCAAACGCCGCACAGACAGTGAGACCTTTCTTCTTCCTAATCTTCCTGCTGCTACTGCGTAGTGATATGAAACCTTTTCTTTGGGACACAAGAAAATTTCCATGAGAGGATGAACCGTTTGTGAAAGGTGAGTTTGACGACGCAATAAGCGTAGGAGAACTAGAACAGGGTTCCGCCGGCAGAGACCGAACTGGGCTGAGCTTGAAAGTAATCGCCTTGCGTTGGACATGAACACGGCCAGATCGATTTGAAGCGGATGATCCTATAGAGAATGGGTAGAATCTGCAGCGAGAGTGAACCGAAGGTGATGAAATTTGCATCATCCTCGAGTGAAGTCCCTGCTTCGAACTGTGCCGCCAAAAAGACTCACCGGAAAAAGCAAAACAGAGAACAAGTCTTCTTTATGATGAACCCATCACAGGAAAGCATCGAATTTATTTTCTTCTTATTTGATTTCGTCACCAACAGAAAAAAGCCATATTTTTCCATTCCCAGGGACAAACGTGAAGAAGGAAGGAAGAAGAAGGAAGGCATGAAGTTAACAAAACATCCAAGACACGTCTCCCAGGACAAAAAGCCTCACTTTACTTTTCTTTCTTATTTTTATTTCTCTTTTTCTGGATAACCTCTAAAGCTTTTCTTTCATGTCACATCATGCGACTTTTATCAACGTAAGCAACGGTGAGTTCGAAGCGAACGTACATGAACGACCTTTCTCGCCTATGTAAGAAGCTTCTGCAGGTTTTGGAGATGCTCTCCCCTGTCCCTATGCAAGGGATGAACCGCCCCATAAATTAATTAGATTAGGGAATATAATATTATAACTATAGTACATCCCATCAATTAAAGAAATATTAATAAGTCAGACAGGAAAATTAAATTGGAGTGAGGAAGGATTGCTTGACGTGTTCAACGTCTGTCTCCTAATTTTGTTACGTCTGTCTCCTAATTTTGTTGTTGAGACTGTAGCACGTCAATGCGTAGAATATAATTTTGTTGTGGCCCTCAGAGATATGAATTTCCTTCAGGTTACCTAAAAATGTGTTTTTCCTGCAAATTCTTCTTTCGTTAACCTAACACATCAATTTGAGGCATACGGGGGGGTTGTCTCGTTGTGAAGATGCCGGTTCAGTATTCACGCTGTAGTGGGAAACGCCGCCGTTTTGGAAGCATGGTTTTGAAAACCTACGGTGCCAATTTGACCAGATGATCTTAATCTGTGTCCCATTTTCTCTTGTCTGCCCCGAAGGCTAGCAATGGAGTTGCAATAATAATCAAGTGTAGGTCCTCCATTTTGCTTGTCGTGAGAGAGCAAGCCATTTGAATGGAGGTGCAATCAAGTGGGGGTTCTCCATTTTGCTTGGCAAGAGAGCAAGTGATGATTTGCTAATGATGACAATTAAGCAGAATTGAGGGGTTTATCATGTAAGTGAGGGACTTTTCAGTAAAATACTAAACTACCGTTGTATGAAGGAAAAAAATAATAGTAGTAGTAGGAAATGCTTTTTTGATCTTATTTATAAGTCACTTCCAGCATACTTCATATATATCAAATAAAACTTTAAATTTTATTAATTTTAATTTAAAATTTAACAAATTTTTAACTTTATTTATATTTAATATATATTATATTTCATATAAATAAAGTCAACACAATAATAAATAATAAATAAAATTAAATGCCCATATAAAAAAAAATTTTAAAATATTTTATAAATAGGATAAAAAATTGTTTTTTCTTTCATCTATTTTATAAATAAGACAAAAGTAGTAATAAAAATGAGCATGTTTGGGGGCAAGTGGAGCTTCATGCGCACAACACCTTGGGGTCACGTGCCAAGTGGCGTTTTGTGGCAAAGCAAGGTGGACAAGTGTCGCTTTCTCATTGCTTTAGGTTTTGGGTGTACTGAAATTAGTCAAAAACTATTGCCTTGCGCTGGCGCCCTTGGCTTTTGCAGATCAGTTTAGGAACACAGTAACCATTTGGATAGGGATGAAAATCTTTTATAAATATATTTTATATAAATCGAAACAAAACTTTTCTAATATATTTATTTTGTATTTTGTAAATCACAATTAAAAAATTATTTATAAATTATTCTAAACAAGTTACCACACAAACAGCCTCTCCATTGTTTTGGAACAAAAAAAAAAAGCCTCCCCATTGGGAACCATAGCTGCTTTGGGTGATTCAGCCATTAATAATTAGATGAAGGAATATAATATAATAAAATCATAACTACACATCCCACCAATAATATATTACTGAGTAATATGATAACTAAATCATTCTGATTTCTGAGTCACGATTCGTTGACGTGTTCAAAGTGTGTCCAGCAACTCAGTTTCAGAAGCTTTAGCACGTCAACACGTGTAGGAGAGGGGGCTCATGTGGGGGCGAAAGGTCCTTGTTTTGTGGGGAAACAGAATGCGGTTCTCTTACGTTAAGTTGAAATGTAGTTTGCAAAGTGGAATTAACTAAATTCCTTTTTGGATGTACTTTCACATTTCACCTCTCGTCATGTTTCTTTCTGCCGGTTTGTGACTCGCAATAGCCGTGAAAAGCGTGTGATTATAGTTTTGTCTTTTTCTTAATAAAAATGGGTCGATGGTCAAATCATGAAAATAGTACGTGGAAGAATATACATATATTAGGAGAAAGAAAATTATAATCCAGATTTTACGGAGTTATAATGTAATATATAAATAGAGTTTTGACTTAATTAATGCTTAGTCTCTAAATTTTTAAATAATTAAAACTATAGGATTTGAATTATAATAAGTTAAAATTCAGGGACTTAATTTCAACTAAATCAAACGTACTAAAAAGATTAACTTACATTAAAATTCAAAGATTTGAGTTATAACACACAGGAATAAAAAAAAAAAAATTTCCCATACACACACTCTATTTGGGAATCAATTTTGGTGCTTATTAGAGGGATGAGCACCATGATACTTATCAAATCTTAGCCATTCAAATTTAATATGGACGGTTGAGATTTAATATTTAATATTTTTGTTTTCTCAAAAAATATTTTTCTTTTAATAGATAAATAATCCAAAATAAATATAATCTTTTAATTATTAGTTTTTTTAAAAAAATAATTTTTTATTTACAAATTCTTGGTTGAAAATTTTAAATTTAAATTATTAAAATTGATTTTGAATTGTTTATATTTCACCTCAACGATGAACATTATTATGCTCATCACTGAAACTGTTTCTCTATTTGTCGTATTTCAATAATTTGGCTAACCCTCAACTAGGGCTTTACAAAAACCCGATAGTCTAGTATGGTCCAGTCTAATTCCAACAAACCCGATTCAGTCCGATCCAAAAAAAAGATTGGCCCGAAAAAAGATTGGGCTAGATTGGACCAAACTAGTCTCATTGGGCTAGATTGGACTAGGAATTGGCCCCTAAGGCCTGTTGGTCCAATTCAATTTGACCCAATTTTCTTTTAAAATTTTTAACTATTATTTATATAATTTTAATTTGTTTTAATTATTCTATATAAGTTTTTTGTCTATTTAAATAATCAAGATTTATCTATTAACTTCCTAAATAATGAGCATATATATATTTTTCACAATATGAGATCTATAATTGATAAATAAAAATGACGTTATTGAAAAATTGAAAGGGAATGATTAAATTTGATGAAGTTTGAATTAAAATATGTGCAAAATTTTAAACAGTAACTTACAATCTTGCCTCTTATTGGAGAAAAAAATTTTAAAAAGAAATTAAATTAAGGTTGTATTTCACACAATCCAAAGGACTAAATCCAGTCAAACCTGATCTCGGATTAGTATCGGACTAGACCAGACCTCAGGCTGTCTTTTTCAGCCCAAAGTTTTTATTGGTCCAAACTTTGGATTGATAACAAACCCGATTTAATTTGATCTATGCATACCCTGCCCTCAAACATTAGAGGGCAGATTGTTAATTAAATGACCAAAACCGAATATTTGGTCTATGTGAGGGCATAACTCATCTTTCTGGTGTCCTATAGATGGAATGAAGACTTGGTGAACGCTATATATATTATATCTCTCTCCACAGCTTCTCCGAACTCCACTTTCTTTTAATAACCTCCCAGATAGTCTATGCTGGAGTATCAGTCATCCTTCTGGTGAGTATACTGTTAAAAGGTGTTTTCTTTTTAATTTCTTCTGATATAATCTTCTCTTTCATCTTCTACAGATTTGTTCTGGAAATTTCGCTCAATTCATACGGAAGCTGTTGAACAAGGCCATTCCTTCGGGAGATATTCCAAGAAAGCATTATTTAAATTCTACTAATTAATTTCTGCTGTTTTGGACGCCATGAACTGGAAATACGTTGCATCATTTGTTTGTCTCTCTCCCTCTGGTTTTGTGCATTATTTAGAACTTTGTGACTTCAGAGTTTGGTTTAAACAAACTCTTTTCTCCCTTAACAAGGGATGGACACCCCTCATCAGCTGGTTAAGAATATTATTGCTCTGATAAACCGCATTTGGATTAGATGAAGAGGAATCTCATCTTGCAACAGGGGCCACCCCATCTCTCAGGATTCATCCATAAAAGAATTACAAGGTTGCTTAACTTTATAGTGAGCTCAGTCTCCTCCTCCTCCTCAAGGATGTGCAAAGAAACAATATTCATCCAACCTTTTAACCCTGGGAGTGCCGCTTCTTGTTTTCTTGGAAGTTGCAGAATAACTCTAAAGGACAGTTTCTACAAGGCATGACTCAGGTTTATCATGTCTTTGCAGATGCTACCATATATAGGATTTGCATAGCATTGTAGAGGAGTTGGCAGATCACTGGATTTTTGGAAAATCTTGATGCAGTCGCCAACAGGATCTGAGTCCATGGTTCGAGCAGAGGAGCTAGCCAAGCTAGCCGATGTTGCGAGGGGTTTGGGAGTGTTTTTGATTGTGGATCATGGGGTTCCCTTGGAAGTTGTGGATGGTGCTATGGATGTGGTGAAGAGCTTCTTTAGGTTGCCTTTTCCAGACAAGAAAGCTTGTGTAGGAACTTACTTTCCTTTTCCCCGCTGATTTTTTGGCAAGATACGTTGTCCGCTGATCATTATTATTATTTTCTCTGGAAAGGGCAACCTAAAGAAGATTCTCTCTACTGTCCCCGTTCCAGGGATGATTCATTCAGCCATTAATAATTAGATTAAGGAATGTTAATATATAAAAATTGTTGTGATGAGGGGGGGGGGGGGGAACAGAGGTATGTATAATCAAAGCCAAAGTATAAAATGGTGATATTTTATTCAAGAATCATTAAGCCATTAACAGTAGATATACTAACCCAAAGAAGTATTGAGTATGTCTTGTTTTGGTGACATCCCATTCTTCTCTGGTAAGTTCTTCCTCAGAGTTTCATAGGGAATTAAGTTAAAAACACAAAGCGTTTGTCTAACATGAACCAAAAACTATGAATGTCAATTACATATATCATGGGAATTAAGTGACTTAATTAATGAGCATCATCTCATTGCAGTACTCTTGACTTTAGTTATTTTTTATAGACGAACCTATATGCATATATGCATGTATATACGGTGTTTGTTTGTAAGTTCTACACACATAAAATAAATAATAAAAACCTGCTTGCATATATATATATATATATATATATGCGCGTTGATTATTAGGATGCAATTATGTATACAGTATATATGAGGCTCATATGAATTTCGAAAAGGGTTTATATTCACCGCCAATATGAAAAACAATTACAGTAGAAATTTGAATTTTAAGTTAAAATGATTGAAGAATTATAACATTATATGCCCAAATGGAAGTACAAAATATTAGAAATTAGAGATTTAGGGGTTATTTTTTATAATATAACATTATAAATGTGTTTATAAATAAATTAATATGATTTAATATATATAAAGAAAATATTTTGTGACGGGACTTGAACAGGACAATTCTGTCCTGCATCTCGTCTCGTTCTGATATGGATTTTGTCCTGTTTTAAAAATTTTCAAACCAGAACTATCCCATCTCAATATGACTAAAATAGGAACCGGACATTCCTAAACACCCCTAATACACGACACCTTGTTTAATTTCTATGACGTTCACTTATCAACTTCCAAGTAGTCTTTGATAGCAAAGCAATGCTTACAAGCAGCGTTCTCTTTGCCTCTGGTCTTTTTAGGTTTTCCACATCAGTTGTTGTTAATATACTCCTTCCGCTCCGCAATATAAAAAATTGGTTAACTTTTTTCACATTTTAATAAATAAAAGTTAAGTCATTAAATTTGTCCTAAAATAATAAAATTTTATTATTTTACCCCCAAAAAATAATAAATTGTCTTTAATGTTATATTTTTATTATCACTCCTTTTTCTTTTATATTTAATTAGGGCTAAAATAAAAAAAAACTCATTAATTATTCTGATAACGTCTTATATTTTGAATCACAATTTTTATATTATTATTAATTATCCCTGTCCACCATCTTTCGCTTTCGAGAAGCCTCCGCACATAAAAAGCATAGATGATTATAATCAAAAGACACTGAGCCAATTTAAAACAAATAACAAACAAGAGTTTGCTCATTTGTGTGAGAGAAGTATACAAGAAATTATTAATAGATTAACAAGAAAATTTGTAAAAGAAAAGCAGACCTGCGAAGACAAGGGCGCATCAAATGCAGAATCTCAGGGCGCGAGAACAGAGGAAGCAACAGGGGCCATCATGATTCATGAAGTAACTAAATGGTTCATTGTTGAATAAATGTTTGTGCAAAATCAAAGGAAGAACAAAAAGGTATGATGATCCTATCATAGAAACTTCAAAATGGTTTATTTTGCCCAAAAAAACTAACCATATCTATTTTTTTTTGGCTTCTACATCTTCTGATAAAAATATATTTTTAATTATAGTATCATAAAATAATTATATTTTTGATAATTTTGGATTCTCCTAAATGGTCTCAAAATATTGTTCTTCTGAAGTCCTATTCTAATAAATATTTTTTCTACATGTCCATCTATTGAAACAAAAGTGTAACACACATTATGTACGTATATGCCCATGCATAGCTGCTCACTGAAGTAAAATTTTGCTCCAAACACATTAAAAAATATCGTGGGAATGTTAAAGAACTTGCAATTCGAGAAGAAGGCTTCGTTTTCTCAATTTGTCTTTTGTGTGAGATTATGCCTTATCCACACAACTTTGATCTTTTCCAAAAGCTACGGTTTTTCCGTCCAAGGATGCGAACGAGGCGCGACTTGCTGGCGTTCGATCAGAGCGGAACACGACCCTCGTTCGGGTGAGGGATTCTGGGAAGCTTTGTTCCCGAAAGGTAATTGGGGTGAAGCTGACTTTGTGGCAGTGTATGAGCTGGAACGTGAAGAAAGCGGAGGTGAATGAATTCGAGGCACTCTGATTGAGTAGCTAAGAAGGAAACGCAGTAAATATAGCAGAGAGAGGAGGAAGAAGAAATCCAACAGTGTTTAGCTCCAGATCTCGGCTAGTACTTGCTCTCTCGTGATTAGCTTTAGTTTGTCTCCTTCATATCCAGAGAAATATTTTTTTAATAGTTTAAATTTATTTATTTAGTTTTATCAGGACGGAAGCCAACTCCCACCACCACCATGTCTGGATCACAAATTCACCATCGCAATTTTTAAGAAGAATCTGAGGCTGAATGATTCTGAACATGGAGACATATAACGAAAACTCATGCTACCACCAAACCAGTTTCTTAGACGAAAAAGGGAGGCTTAGGACTGTGAAGGTCCCTGTGGTTCAAGAACTAGCTCGCCAAGGACTCAAACACTTGCCTGATAGGTTCAAGAGGCCAGACTCAACCGCATTTGCCCACCATGTGTTCGAGGAAATTCCCTCAGTAAACTTAGCCACGTTGAAGGAAGGGTCCGAGTCCATGGTTCGAGCAGAGGAGCTAGCCAAGTTAGCCGATGCTGCGAGGGGTTTAGGAGTGTTTTTGATTGTGGATCATGGGGTTCCCTTGGAAGTCGTGGATGGTGCTAGGGATGTTGTGAAGAGCTTCTTTAAGTTGCCTTTTCCGGAGAAGAAAGCTTGTGTAGGAACTTACAGTGAGATAGATAATATGGGATATGGCAGAAACTTTGTCAAGTCAGAAGATCAGGCATTAGATTGGATCGATCGATTGACTTTTCGAGTAGCTCCTCCTCTTGAGGATGATGAGGGACTGCGCGTTTGGCCCCTTAAACCAACCAATTTCAGGTTCCTTCTCTAATTTCGTTGTTTGGACGCTCAAAATGAATCTTTCCAGAAAAGGGGATAATTTGATAGAGCTATTTGTGTTCTGCCGAACTATAACCCCATTTTATTCCCAGCTAGCCCATGAAATCGAATCTTGTTTGTCTATACACTAATGTCTTCACTATTTGGTTCGTTTCAGGGAAGCAATGGAAAGATATGCCAGAGAAGCAAGAGGTGTAATGGACTTCTTGCTTGTGGCTTTGGCAGAGGCTTTGTCTATTGAAAGCCATGATGTTTTCCTCAAGTACTTTCATCCTACAGATAGTGAGATCAAAGCCAGAGTGAACTACTATCCACCATGCCCAAGTCCAGAACTGGCCATGGGTCTTAACCAGCACTCCGACGCTAGTGCCCTCACAATCCTAGCTCAATTTGGGTCCAGCCAAGGCCTTCAAGTGCTTAATAAGGACCAGACATGGATCACTATCTCATGGCCACAAGACCAGTTGCTAGTGGTCGTTGGAGACTTGCTTGAGATCATGAGCAATGGGCTTGTCCATAGCACTTGGCATAGGGCTATTACCAATAGGAGTGCAGAACGAGGGTCCATTGCTTTGTTCTATAGTCCACCACCAAGAACCCTAATTGAGCCTGTGGCTGCAGAGGAAGAAACCTACGGGGAGGTGGTTGTGGAGGACTATTTGAGGCATTATTATAAGGTTGTTCCAACCATGGAAAAAATTGCTATCAACTTTGCCAAGGTAAATTAATGCTTTGAAATGAATTTGGTGTGTGCGACATTCTTATTGTAAAGGGTGATGTCTAGAATCTAGTCAGAGGTAGAACCATTAAAATTTAAATGAACTCTAATATACCACAAGGACACTTCATTCCCTGACGAAGACAGATTTATGCTTCTTTTTTTTTTTATTATACTCCTCCGGTCTTAATATAGAACCCAATTATTGAGTTGGTTTTTGTTTTAAATATAAGACTCATTTCTCATATTTATTAATTTTCTCTAAATTACCCTATGGATACTCCCTCAATCATAATCAAGTAGAAGATGGAGAAGGGATATTAAGAAAGATGATTATGGTGTTTTAGAAAAAATGTGTCACTTTTCTTATAATTAACTAATTTACCTAACTTTTTTAATCTAATCAAATTAGTTAAATGGGTGTTATATTAAGGATTGGAGGAGTAGCATGTAGGAACTCATTAAAGGTACGTGTAAATGGATTCTAATAGGCTGACGACCTGCTCGACTATGTAAGATTCTCCAGCTTTTGAAGATTCTCTCTACTGTCCCCATTCCGGGGATGATTCATTCGGCCATTAATAATTAGACTAAGGAATATAATAATATATTAACTATACATCCCCTCAATAAAAATTGTTATATTTGATAATCATTAATAATTCGGACAGAAAAATTAAATTAGAGTGAGCAGAAGTGTTAATTTTGTTGTGGCCCCTAGGCATTTTTATTTCTTTCAGGCCACCTGATGTGTTTTCTTTCCCATCAGGCTAACACATCAAAAGATAACAAAGGATTAGATAAAAATTGAAATTAATCTTATAATTTTGGACATGATTTAGTTACAAGGGACGCAAGATTAATGGAGTTTCTCGGAAACCGCCTCTTATTTTGCTCTCTCAATTTGGTAAGCATCCCTCCCCTACCCTACGTTCAAGATAAATATAGTACCAATTCTCTAGTTTAATTCTGCAATTTTTTATAGAAATAAAAATACGATAATCTGTGATCAATATGAATATATAAAAAGCATGTTCACGAGTGTCATTGTATACCCTTGTGATAGGCTCACAGGCAAATATATATATATATATATATATATAATAAAAAGAAAGCTGAAGGGGTGTGTAGATAACTCAATAAACACTTTTCAAGAGCATTTTTTCGTAAATCGAGATAAATTCCTCTATATATTTATCTCGTATATCGTAAAAGCACTTTTGAAATTATGATTTTTGATCTTACCTAAATACCTCCTAAACGGAAAAAGTTTTGCTTTCACTTTCTGTCTTGAAGACTTGTCCGTTGGCCTATGTCCAAGGCTTTTCCTTTGATATCCTTGGGGTCTCCCCTTTGGATCTTCAAGCCTTTCCTCTTGCTCAAAGTTCTATCACTGTTCGATTGTGGACTTGCCTTCTCACCCATGATCCTACGACCCTTGTTATTGTTGTAATTTATCTCTCAATCTCCACACATTCTAATCGAAGAATTACCATCTGATTCTACAAATTGGGCCAACTTGTTTGATGATAAATCTATCTCTAAAGAATAAAATAAATAAAATCTAAAATGCTTCCTAAAATGTTTCCAAGTAAGATAATGATTAAAAAAACCAATTAATTAACAATTAAAATATCTTTATTCGAATAATTCTAATAAGACAATACTAATCGGATTTTCTCCTTTTGTTTTGAGGACTCTCCTCTTCAATTCCTTCTTCCTCTTGTGCTTCCAAGAGCATGGGATTGTTCGGCCTGTCCATCCACCAGTCGACAAGTCTTGGCGCAAAAAAAAAAAAGGTCAAAATGACAAATGATTTAATAAACGACGCTTCTAGATCTATTAAACTAATCATAATTATGGTTCAATTTATATAAAAACATCTTACTAAATTTTGTTATACACTACTTCCAACTCTAAATATAAAATTGAATTTATAGTGCAATTTGTACTATAAATTAGATTATATACTTACCGTTCCTTCAATTCTCGCATCCTTTGCAGATGCTGCATCAATTCAAGACCCTTTATTGAATGACGAAGATCCTCCTCTAATTGTTTTTGTGGGTTTTGTGTTGCCAATTCTTGCAGAACTTGCATCCTCTCCAAGTATTCTTCTTTTGAAACAGTGTGTTTAAGTCCTTCCCATTTTTCCATCAGACTCTTGCTCTTTTCTCGAGTTATTTCCTCTCGTTCTTTAAGTCTTGCAAAACGTTCTGGCCTGCTTGCTATCGCCTCTACAAGCCTTAATTGGTATTAAGAAACCAAAAACATACAAATTATCAAATACGTAAGCATATTTATTGAGTTATTTTGATGTTATTTTTTTAAAAGCAAAAACTTGGTTATATACTTACCGTTCCTCTAGCTCATATACTTTCCGTATCAACCCAGCAATTGTTTTTGGATCACAACGATCTTCTTCTTGAAATCGTTCTATCGTTGGCATTTTTGGGCAGCTTCGATCGGTATCCTTTTGTTCTAATTAAAGCACCATCGAGAAAAAATTTTATTCTGATCTAAGAGGTTTTCTTAAAGAACAATCATATAGTGTAATGTTAGAGAACATACCTGATCGCCCAAATGATTTGAAAGGAGCCTCAGCTTACGCCTTCAAAACAAGTCTCTAATTAAGTTATTATATTCCACCTAGTCTCCTATTTACGTGTAAAACTGTTACTCATTTATAGTCTCTCAGTTGAGTATTCTTAACGAAAATTATTTGATTTTTTAAAAGAGAGGATATGATATATGATCATCTGACATCCTTTTGAGAATTCAAATCAAATATTAATATGAGATATATTAATCAAACATAATTTTTGATGCTGTATATAAAATAAAAGTATGATTCAGATTCCCTTAAATAATATGTGTTGATATGAATTAATAATTATATTTATCACTTGAGGAATAATAACCAGATTGTGATCTAATGGGATTGAGGAGAGTTACAATTTTTTTTTAAAAAAAAGATCTTTACCTCAATATTATTAGAGAATCCAAATCCATTCAGAAGACCTTGAGATCAATGTTTTGTTTGACTGTTAAAATTTTTTCAATTTAACTGATTTTATGCATTAATGATTTCATATTTCATTATTATATAAGAACATTAGACCTCAACTCTAATATTTTGATCTGCGGTTTGATTATATTTTTAAAATATATAATTTAAAACTTATATGCTTTCAAAACAACTCTTCGTGTTATTTTTAAAATATATAATTTGCTTTATTTTCATTATATATATTTTATGATTTGTATTAGTTTAGACATGTAGTTGTTCTTGAAATTTTAAGGGAAAAAACACAACTATTTATTATTCTAACTATAACAATTACACATTTATATGCTCTTGTAATAATACAAAAATTTTAACCATGAATATGAGACTCCAATGTATTGAAATGGGAAAGTCAAGAGAGACGCATCCAATAAAATATTTCATATATGACGTCCGAAATATATATCATTTGAACAAACGTTGCTCAAAAGTCAAAAGTTCATAACGACTGTTACATATGTTTCCAATACTTTTGTGTGCAAATTTTCATAGAGAGTTCGCTTGTGAGCTATAAATTCCTCATATTTTTCTTTGAAATCTGCCTCCCTTCGTTGCAGGTCCCTCTCTTTTGCATTAAGGTAATCCTCCATTAAGGCCAGATCAGCTGCTTTGAGTTCCAGATTCATTTCCTTGACCTCCAAGCCTTTATTGTTCATTTTAGGCTTTAGATCCATGGCATCACTTGTTCCTGCTTCCTCGGCCAAGCCTTCTAAAAATGGTAACTATTCAAACATACAGAAAAAAGTAAGGGAAAAAAACTAAAGAAAAACAGTTTTGGTGTGTAAATTGTTGTTAATTAACCAAAAATTACCCGCGAGTCAACTTCAGATAAAAATTCATCCAACGTCTGTCCTGGTCTGGGCCCATAAAATAACGCCTCCACCACAGCAACACGCCTACGTAATTTGTCACTCCTGGATTTGAGGCGCCTCACAGAAGAATTCTCTTCTATCGCCATTGCGTTATGAACAAAGCCTAAAGACTTGTTCCGGGTTTCTGGTTCGCCATGAACAAATTATTCAGGTAATTCAGTTGGGAAATTATCTTAGAGAGAGAGAAGAGAAGAAGAGTAACCCAACTGCTTCCTCAGGGGCGTCTTAACGCTCAAGGAGAGTGACAAGTGGCAGCCACAGGAGAAACCACTGGCCTTCTACTGCATGGTCGCCGATAAATACAGTTGCTTCTTCTAGATGACGCGCAGGGGCATAAAATAACAACAACAATAATAATTAAATATCAAGAATTCATTCAGTAAAGCTGTAACGATTTGTGTTAGTCAGTCATCCATTACAGCAACACAATAAACCCTATCAGTACCAGTACGTACGTGGCAAACGAATAGATAAATTTTTAGGTAAAGATGTCTGCCATGTATGATTCCAGTAATCCAGGAAGAGAAAGTAACAGGAATATCCAACAAGAAGAGGAGGAAGAAGAAGAAGAAGAAGAAGAAGATATTATCCAACTTACTTTATTTTCCAGACGTAGAGATCACTGCGGCTAGGCGACGTGTCAAGAAGAAAGAAATCTATCCGCAGGAGAAAATATTTTAGACAAGAAGAAGGCTGTTAAAATGGGGAGAAAGCGCCCGAAGAAAGCTCTCCAAGAAGCAGATAAAGAACGGATGGAGGATTTGTAAATTTATACTTATATAATCAAATTATAGAAATTTTCAAGTGTACTTGTTCAGAGTCCGCGATGCTCATCCTTTAACGTCGCCGTTTCGGTGCCTTTTTTAGATCATAGAATACATGACTCATTTTTTATTTTAAATATTTTTATAGTTCAAAAAATTAAACATTACGGTTACTTCTGTGAATAAAATTACCGGGTAAATCATATGCAAACTACAAATTAGGTCTCCTACACTACTTCATGAAAAAAAATCTCACCATCGCTTGATTGCGCAGAATTTCTTCAAACATATCAACTGATTTTTATTGGATCAATCAAAACTTTTAAAGTGAAATTAAAAAAAAAAAAAGATAAGGTGCTAAAATACTCCAAAAGTTGTCACGGAAGAGCACCTTGCACCTGAATTTTTTTTTGCTCTAATATATCCTGGATGTTCTTTT